AAACGCTCTGCAACCACACCAGGCCGAGACCCCCCGGGCCGTGGGCACACAGAGCGGCGCGGGCACGGCGGGGCAGCCAGGATGACGGAGCAGACCCCGGCCACCGCGATTCCCAGAACGGGTCCTCGTGGGGAAACGCACCTCAGAGGCGGCACTGAAAGATGTCTTCAGTGGCAGAAGCTTCAAGGAAACAAAACGCAGCTCTGCATCTGCGAATACCTTCCGGACCACCCTAAAAGCAGTTTACACTTCCTAAGATGACGTGACAGGAGTTTAATTCTCCGCGATTTATGGAGATCTTGGGACACTCGCTTGCAGGTAGCACCAAACCGCACCGCGCCTAAGCCTCCAAGCACTTCACAACGGATCCAGAGAAGAGGGAGACGAAGAATCGGCCATTCCCACCGACATCCTCAGAGAGGATTTCAAGCCGTCTTCCACAGGCGCAGACTGAGAACGCTGCTCACGGATCGGTCTGCACCTGCATCAATATTCACAGCACAGAAACGGCTCCGTTCGCAGCACCCTGACTCCGGACTCGGCTCCCGAGCGCGAGAGCGGGTGACGGGATCACTCCATCTCCCGCGCTGCCAGCGGAAGCTCGCTTCTGCCGACAGCAGCCGGCCTGAAATCCAGCGAAAGGCTCGGGTCTTTTCTACGCCCACCACGCTGCCACACAACCACATCTCCAAAACCGACCTTTTCAAGCAACATAGATTTTTTTTTTCCTTTTCTTTGCCATCCTCCGGTGGCCGGGTGCCATCAGAATTTGCCCCAACCAAAGGCTCTGCAAGGGAGGTCACCGGTGGAGACTAACGAGAAAGGCTGAGCTGGTCTAATTACTGACTCTCCAAAGTAAAGTGGATGCAAGCAGCCAGCGCCCAGCACTTCTGAACATAGGAATGAAATGGTATTTGAGAGGGCCCGAGGAAAATGGGAAGAAAGCAAGGAAAAAAGATGACGCTTTACTGTGGAAAAGCCCACTGTGAACCGTCCTCAGCACCCTTTATTCCAGCCCAAATAGATGAGGTCTAAAGGCTCTCTTTACGTGCACTACAAATTTAGCAACTCTTCCATTTTCCAGATGAATTTTAATTGCATTACATGCTATTGATTTCACAGTCACAGAGGACATCTCTCAATTTCTTCTGTGCTACCATTAACCACTTCTACTAATTTTAAAGACAGAAAACATGCTGGTTAAGAACAAATCAACGCACAAAGTTGACAAAGCGGTGTGAAACATGAGGTAAACAAGCAGACACTAATCCTCCCTTCACCCAACCTACAAACACCACAAGTGAACGTTACCTTTACCTCCCCGGCTCAGCGTGGTACCCCATCCGCCCACAGCTTCACGCTGCAAGCCCAAATTCCAGTCTTTCCCTGCCTCCGAGCAGACGACCTGTACTTCCATCTCCACCTCACCACAGCTCTGAGACACTCAGAGCCCTCACGGCAGTCTGTCTGTTTTGGTTATGCAGACAGAAAACCTCCCCAAAACAGAGGGATTAAAATTCACCGTGGACCAAAAGGGAGCAGCCTGTTTCTACAGCCGGCAGGTCCCTCTTCAGGCTGCTCTGAGTTATCTGAACTATCTGCCCACTGCGTCACCGCCGCTGGTTAGCTAGGACCTTCCAGAGTAAGGACTGCATGAAGCAAGCATTCCTAGAAGACCCGAATCCTCTAGGAATCTAATGCTTATACCTGACCATGCTCGCAAGGGAGGAAAAGGAGGAATGGGAGTTTTTCTCTCCCCTTTTTCCTTTGCACTACAGGAAAAAGATAAGTAACTCGGTTTAGGCAAAGGTAGCACCGTTCTCTGGTTTCAGCCGGCAGCAACGCGAGCGCCGCACGTACCTGGATGTATCGCAAGGCACTCCTTAGGATGCTGAGGTTTGAGGTCTTCTTGTCGTCCACGTTGGGGATGTTGCGTTTTAACGTCTCAAAGCATTCTTTCAAATGCGCACGTCTAAAGAAAGCACAGGTGGTTGGTCAGCTGGTGGGAGCACACACCAGAAATCAATTTAGCAGAGGGCTAGAGCTTAATTTGGGCCTTCATCCAGCAAAGCACTCGCACATGTGCATAGCAGAGACCAGACTACCTGCACGCTTACAGCTGAGCCAGCCCGGGCCAGCAGAAAGACTACGGGGTTGGGTGCCTGGATTCCAGACCCAGCTTCGTTCGGAAACCACCGTGCCATCTTCAGTGAAATCCCTCATCTCCCCGTGCTGTTGCTTCCACTTTCACCGTATTTCCGATTTAGCTGGTGAGACTGGTGAGAGTTTTGGATCAGGAACTGGTCTTTATTCTGCATTCACGCTGTAGACTGGCCCCTGACCCTGGCTGGTTTCTTACTTCAAATCAAAAGAGAAGTTACACCGTTATGCACGTGGGGATTTACTTTGCGGGATCAGGGCTTTGCAGGGTTATTGTAACGCAATTGTGCAGTTAAGTAAAATACACTGGGAAGCAAGAGATGCAGAACTGAGCTGTAAGAAACCAAAGCAATATTGCAAGATTCATCAAAAGGTCACTAAGAATTTTGTTCAGGTTATTTGTTAAAAAACAAACAAACAAACAAAAAAAGCCAGTGGCAAAAGCTAATGTACACCCACACAGTAACCACATTATGTCAAAACCCAAGTATTTTGATCCCTGCCCTAAAAGAACAAATCTACGAAAAAATCAAACCCCTGGCTTTCTACGCACCTGTTCTTCTCCAATTTATTATGTACTTCCCTGGTCCCAACCCTGTAACCCAAACAGAACAAAGATAAACTCAGTGTCAGGTTGCAAACTACCGCCATTCCACCTGCGCCCCAGCAGCGTCCGTGTCTCCAGGCTACGCAGGTAAGCACCAACAAGCACGGCGTGCCGGCATCGCTGGTTTGGTATCAGTGCTGTATATGTTTCCACCTATACTGTGCCAGGATCAAATCCATACTTCACATGCGTATTAGATGGGATAAGCATTACGCACGCACTGCACACATGATACAAACAGTACCACGTGTGTGTGTACACACAGACACGGCCGCTGTCAACACAGGGAAAGACACAAAGGACGAACTGCACGTATTTATACGGTACCAGATCGCCCAGATTCTGCCCCATTTCTGATCCGCGCCTGCACTCCAGCGGGGTAAGCTCTATGCAGTTTCAAATTAAAATGTATGGGACTTGGCAGACATACTTCAAACCGCTTTAGTTTTTCACTGTGCCTGAAATAACACAGCTGAGCATAAATATGGAGTGAAGTAATCCAGGAATCCTCCAGCCACTGCTAACGGAGGAACCAGCGCGAGCTTCTGGGTTTTGGGGTTTTGGTCTGTCCCCACCCTCCGAATCAGAGGAATACTTTCAGGAAGAGGCAAACAAATTCACGTTATCTTAGTTTGTCAGCTACAGTGGTGATAAAGTACATTAGTAGACACGTGGAGATTTCAGGTATCTCCCACACACTCTGCAAAGTAATTATTTACCTTTGGCTGAAAATACACGGACACTGAGGGGAGTATTTCAGGAGGTACGCTAATATTCAATAAATATTCAGGTATTTAAAAACAAATAATTGACAGCCTTTTCCCATGAAACACTCACAGGCTGAAAAAGACATCTTTTCTGTGCTTGTGTCTAGAGGGGTAATTCCGGGGAGACACGGAGCGTGCACCTTGGGACAACCCACCCCAGCGCATTTCAGGACACCCCTGCAGCTCGCTCAGCGTCAGACAGGTATTTTCCCTGTCTGCCTCTGCCAAGAGCCCCAGCAATCCTGCACGGTGAAACGCTCCGCTCCCGGCCCCGAGGCACGGCGATGCCGCAGCCTGCGACGGGCGACAGCCCTCCCA